TTCCTCGAGTCTTGTGATCAGGCGTTCGGTGATGATTGGGATGATAGGTTTCTATTGGGCAAGTTCCCCGAGTGTATCGGTCGCATTCGTCGGGTTTGAGCGGGAGTTTATAGCTTTTATGGGTAAAAAATCTTCAGGCAATCTTTGCTCCATGTGCAGACACTTTTTTTTGTAAGTTTGCAACTTGTATGCCCCATGGGCGACTCGTTTGATGACAATGAATGGTCGTTCGTCTTTCAGGCTATCAAACTTGGTCTTCCCGTGGGTGAATTCTGTTGTCCAACTCTCGATTGTGAAGATGAGCATGAGTGTTCAAAACTATCCTTGGTCGGCGAGCGAGGGTTTTGCCCTGGTCTACAATCTTCTCTGTGGGCGCTTCTCTTCGGAGGATGTCAGTTAGGTTGCTTTGGAGATATCATTCTCCGACTGTGCAGGTCGTGGTGCTTCGGTGTGCTCGTATTTGTTGTGGTCGAATGGTATCGATCAAGTGCTTTCAGAGTAGTGAGTGTTGTTCTCCCCATCTTGGGTCCGAGGGATTCTTCTAGTGATTGGTTCGGGCGCTCCTTGCGGGTGACGAGACACTACCTCTTAGGGTGGTTGTACCCTCTATTGAGTTTGTGCACCTTTGATCATCTCCTTCATCTGCTCTTTGAGGTTGTTGATTTGCTGTCACGAACTCTCGGGTGCAATTCATATTGTTTACGATCTCTCGATATTGGAGTTCTTCTCCTTAAGTTACTCTTCTTGGTTGAGGCATGATCCATACTCATCACATCTTTTAGGGTGTTGAACTTATATTTATCCATGAATCACACACAAGGTATAGACCGTAAAGGAGAGTGAGAATGTGTGTGTGTGTGTGAGAGAGAGAGAGATCTTCCAAGAGTTCTCTCTATGCCAAGTTTCCATCCTAAAAAAAAGGAGCCCCCGTGATCGTTTGGCCCTTAATTGACCAGCCTCTAATCAATTGCCCTCTTGATAGAGCAATTGCTATTGTTCAATTATCCTTGCTTCATATATTCCTATATTACTTGAGATTCATCTTTCGATGTATCTTGTTTCGAACCATCGGATCCACGGAAGATTCGTTCAATAGCATTTTTGCCGTATAATTTGTGATGCACATGTAAATATCAAAGTTTAGGTGTTAGATATGTAAATATATTAGAATTATGTAGTATGTATGTAAATGCCCCAAAATAATATGGTGTGTTAATTATTTACAAATCACAGGTTCTCAATCAATTGTTAGTTCACTTTCATTAAATAAAAATAATAGTAGTCTTGAAGCTTTCAATCAAAAATGAAATGATCATAAATAATCAAGAATTTCAGCAAGAAAATTGGAAACAAATAAAATCAAGGTGCAAACGAATTAATTTTCAAAAAAATATTAGATTTTGGAGGTATCTTTGTGACCAAAATTAAGAGCACTAAAATAGACAATAACATACGATTGAGAGGAAATAGACCAGAAAATAAATTATTAAACTCAGAAAAATAGATCTCATGCTAATATGAGGAGATGAATTTTTCAAAATTTGTTTCACGCACCACACCTGAAAAAATTACTCATCTATTTTACTCCCACAACGTTAAAATTAAAACTATTTTTACGAGTAACTTTTAAGATCTTAAAATTTGGGATGTTCATGAATAAGTTAATACTATGCAGGATAAAGTAACGAGTACTATTAAGCAAGTTGTAAAAGATGTGTTTGGAGAATGAAAAAAAAATTATGAATAAATATAATTGGTGGTAGAACAAAAATGTGCAAGAAAAGATAAAAAATAAATAAAAAGTTTTGTTATAAAAATAAAAATTATTTTAGATGTAAAAGCTTAGAGGATTGGAAAAAATATAAGATAGCTCATAACTAGTCTAAGAGTATAATTTATTATAAGAACTTTGCCTTTAATGATCTTTAAAATATATTAGTAACTAAAGAGAGTGAAAGGTATATGTATAAATTTGTCGAGCAAAAAGATAAGAAAAGTAAATGTTTAGTTGAAGTTAAATGTATTAAGGATGAAAATCAAAAAGCATTTTTCTTATATGAGGATATTCAACATAGGCGAAAGAGATATTTTGATGAACTTTTTAACGAAGAATGTAAAAATATGATTGAATTTATTGATCTTAATATTATAAATAATAGCATTTTTTTAACCATTGCATTAATAAATAGAAATTGATGAGGCTTTAAAGAAAATAAAGCGTGAAATAGTAGTAGGGTTTGATAGTATTCTAATAGAAGTATGAAAATGTTTAGGAGATTAGGAAATTTCTTGCCTTACCAAACTTTTCAATAGTATTTTAAAAATTAAAAAGGATGTCTGATGAGTGGAGAAATAATATAGTAGTTCTTTTTTTTAAGAATAAAGGGATGCAAGAGTAAGTAAATAGATGAATCAAGTTAATTTGTTACACATTAAAGCTATGGGATAGAGTATTTGAACATAGGTTACAACGTGTTACAAAAATTTCTCAATATCAGTTTGGATTCATGTTGGGCAAGTCTACTATGGATGCTATAAATTTATTGAGAGGTTTGATGGAGAAGTGCATAGAGTAAGGATGATTTATATATGATTTTTATTCATTTAGGAAAAGCATATGTTAAGATTTCAAGAGAATTACTTTGGAGAGTTCTAGAAAAGAAAGGTTTTGATATTTGTTTGTATTCAAGTCATTAAAGATATGTATATTATATTTGTTACTTGTGTTCGAAAACAAAAAGGATTGACCAAGTATTTTTTCTGTTTTAGTTGGATTGCATCAGGATCAACTTTAAAGCCATGTCTTTTTGCTTTAGTTATGGATATTCTTACTGAACATTTAAGGATGATGTACTTTGGTGTATGCTTTTAGCTAATGGTATCCTTTTGTGGATTAGACTAGAGATAGATTTAGGAAAAAAACTTGATTTATGGAGGTCAACTTTAGTATATAATGACCTTCGTTTGAGCAGATCTAAAATTGAATACATGGATTTTTTAGTATATAATGACTTTCGTTTGAGCAGATCTAAAATTGAATACATGGATTGTAATTTTAGTAGTGGTAGATCTAGTGATGGGGTTATAACAATTGGTGATCAAGCCATTAAAATGAGTGAATGTTTTAGATGTCTCAGGTTTATTGATCAAAGTGATAGTGATATAGATGGGGATGTTATTAGTAGAATTCAAGTTGGAGGGTTGAAGTGGAACAACGCATTGGGCCTATTGTGTGATAGATAAGTTCCACTTAGACTTTAAGTAAAATTTTATAAGATGGTGGTGAGACCTACAATGTTTTATGGTGCAAATTGTTGGCCTGTAAAAGAGAAGCATAAAATTAAGTCTTTCTAAAATGAGAATACTCGGGGGGACGAGTGACTTTACACTTAGATACAAAATGTGAAATGAATATTTCCGTGAAAGGGTTAGAATAGCTCTAGCGACAGACAAGATTATAGAGAGTCGGTAGATAGTTTGGCATGTTAAACATCGCCTATCTGATGACCCTGTTAGGAGTAGATGTTTTAAATTTGACTTATGTTAAGAAAGATAGAAGTAGACCTAAAAAGATTAGTACATGTATAAATAATAATCTTAATTTATTAGAATTAAATGAAAATATGACACTCAATATGGCACAATGGAGAAAAATTATTCATGTAGCCGACCCCACTCATTGGGATAAAGGCTTATTGTTGTTGTTGCTGCCTGTTGTTGTTGCGTTGAAAAGAAAAATTAAGCCAATTTTTTAAAAATATATTTCCGAAATTCATTGTTTATTGACTAATTGACTAGTAGATAAGAAGATTGGCGTGGCCAGATTTACAGAAATTCTGAAATTTTAAATTCTGATTTATCTCAAAACTCTCCGTTTTGAAACTTTAATTTCTCCTGAAAGAGCAGCACCCTTATTTATCCATACCCGCCATATACATATAGCTGCAGCCACCGCCTTTTCTCAAAACAGCAATAGATTAAGCTCAACTTTTCATAATTTAAATTTCATATATCCTGCCATAAAAATATGACTCTAAACAGAAAAGACACAATCTGAATAGGACTGTAATCTGCGAAAGCCACAATCTGCATAATTGTTAGCCTAATTTCCACCACCGAAAGGCACACAAAAAAGTGGGTATTGACATACATACCAACCAATTTTTATGTAATTACCATCTAACACCTGAAAATTGATTTTTATGTTTACACCACCCATATCTTTCATGTCACATAAAATATACCACTATATTTCATAAAGGAAAGTACTCCTTTTCATGCACAGGCAAGGTGTCCTATAAGTAAAATTATAGTTTAGGTGTTAGATATGTTAAAACATAAGAATTGGTATAAGTAAAATTATAGTTTAGGTATTAGATATGTTAAAACATAAGAATTGAGTGGTATTCATATCAATCTTCCAAAAAAAAAAAAAAAAAAAGAGGAGAATCAACACACATACAACATCAATAACAAACAATGGACCTTAATTTTAACCATATATTTTCAAAGTTTCAACAAAAACTACCACTTAATCAGGAACCAAACAAGATTAAGACTTCAAATAAGGCCAAAAATTGCCGTTGAATCTTTAAACAAGTCAACAAAAACAGGTTGGGTAACATTCAAATCAGATAGTGGTTTCTATGAACCAATGAACCATTCAAAACTATATGACCATATCATAGTAATCCATGAGCTTCACATTTATTCTGCCCATGCTTTTACCGAGTAAAGCACAGATCTCTATCAGAATGAAGAAGCTGCTTGATAGCCGATTTATGAGACTCTTGTTTCTGTTCCATTATGAAACACACAGATAAGGCCACCTAATCTTATAAGTGAAATAGAGGAGCTTCCTAGAATAATTAAATAAATAATTTAAAACTTGTAGGCTTAATTTTTAATGGGATCTCACGTTTCTTGCATCATTAATTCAATAATTTACATGCATGCCAATATTTAGTCTCCATTACAATTTTTCCAGAATTTTCTTTTAGATTAATCAGGTTATGGCAAACGGAGATATCACATCTTTAAGGAAAATTGTGACGGAAAAGATGTACTCTGTAAGTCCTCTTTCTGAAGTTGTTCTCTTTTTTTAAATAGGGTTTACATACATACCACTCAATTCCTATGTATTTACAGATTAACCTAAATTTCACCTTTTACATTTGTACCTCCCAAATCTTTCATATCACATAAAAAAATATCACTATTTTAACTTAAAAAAGTAAAATACACTTTTTCATGCATGAATAAGGTAGCATATATGTAAAAATAGAAGTTTAGGTGTTAGGTATGTAAATAAATAAGAATTAAGCGGTATGTGCAAATTTTCCTTTTGAATATTATATTGCTTTTCGTTCCTTTTTAAAAGAATGATGTCTAGCTGTCCAATGGAAGCGGTGAATTGTATATTTCATATCTTTTTGTTAACTTTTTTTTTTTTTTTTTGGGTAAAGACTCTCAAGAATGAACTAAAACGTAGAGAATCTGTGTGGGATCGTGTTTACTGGGAATTGGTTGAACCTCTTGTCAGAATTCGTACATTGAGAGCTAGAATGGTAAGTTCAGCAAATACTAGCAGCTTTTTCATATATTTTTTTACCTGTATTCGTACTAATAGATTTGTGACTGAAAGCACACACAAAAAAAAAAACATCCTATATCCTAAAAGGATTTTCCAATGCTGCATTTTTCATCTTTATAATACAGCAACTTCTAGTTATATGGGCAAATGTAGTGGCTTCTGTTACAAATATTTCTTCACTTATTATATCAGGCACTCATTTAATTTGCAGATTGCACTAGATAAAAATGATATTGACAAAGCCTTCATTCAACTTACAGTCGAATTTCTTGCGAAGCAGGTCAGTCGTTCTTATCATAATGCTAAATTTATCGGTTATTTCTATAAATCAAAGGTATGTAACAAGGGAGAGGTAAATTGGGTGCACACTGCAAAGTGACTCGTTAGATTATATATAAAAAAAAAAAATCTTTCCAAGCCCTTTGGATTAGCATGGAATACATGAGCTGAATACCAAAGGAAAGTAAGAGTGTATCAAATAAATCAATTCGTGAAAAATAATATTTACAACGATAATTATAGCATCGTTTAATGCACTATTATATGTACAATGTAAAACAGTACAAGAGTCTCTATATTAAAGTGGGGGCAATTTAAGCTATGCACAATTGTCACTACACAAGTTTGCATTCAATTGAATTAATTTTATAGATTAGCAACACACATATATGTAGTGATGGTTAATGAGTTATTAAGCCGATGGAGGTGCTACATCAACAAATAGAAGTGCGTGCTAGAAATTTCGCGGTGGTAGAGTAATAAATTTTCGTCTTAGCGTTTTACAATAATTTAACACACACATAGATGAAATAGAAAAAAACAGTGACGACTCCAGAAATTTTTACATGAAAACCCCGTAAATGGAAAAATCATGGGGTCTGACCCAGTTGCGAGAATCCACTATTGATTGATGATTATAGAAATTTCATGTCCCACTGACGGGAAATGGTAACTATATTTTTCAGATTACAGCGTCGACTAACGGCGTCTGGTTGGTGGTATTGACAATGATTGATGGTGATCGATGGTGATTAGCAGTGGTCGACAATGATTGGCGTAGGCTAAATGAGGTCAGTGGTGGTCGACGACGGTTGGCGAAGGTCCACGGAGGTAGGCGGTGGTCGACGACTGTCGGCAGTAGTCGACAACGGTCGGCGGTGGTTGACAGAAACCGGTGGTGGTCGATTGCAATCGACGGTAGTCGACGACGGGTGGTGGAGGGCCACGG